AAAAACACAGACACAACCAATCGGCGATTTTCCATGGAGTATGGGAAAAGATGGGAAGTGGGGGGAAGACAAAAGCCCTGAACGTATGAGAAAATATGTGAAATTCCTGTTATTCGTGTCTATTTGTGTGTATGCGTGTCCCAGGGCCCCTTCGACTATGAAGAGAAGAGTCCCGCTGTGCAAGCGTTGTTAGGTAGAAGTGGCAGGTTCACGCCGCCAAGAGGCCTGCATTGTTTCACCCCTGCCTGCAATCCAGACGCTGGAATGAGAGCCGCGTCGGGTTCAAGAGGGGCTCTGGCTTGCGGGCCGCTCCTTTCAGACCTGGGTCGGGCAACGTTGTATGGGCTACTCCACGCCCAACCGATCACGATGTCCCCTCTCCGGCCACATTGCAGCATGTTGCGCCAGGCACCCCGCGCACCTCCGAATACGATGTTCTCGCTCTGTGTACCTTCCATCGGTTGTGCCACAGGTTGCGCCGTACACCTCGCGCCGCTCGGAATTGCACCGTTCGGTTAGACATAGGAGTGACGTCCTGCTGAAGTGACCTTTGACGCGGGCCCTCTGGGGTTCCCCGGTCGCCGAATTCTATGCGATAGCAGCGGCTTGTTTGCTTGGGTTTTGCCCTCCCGCGCTTCCCTGAAACCGTGCACCCAAGGTCAGTCACTCTTGGTCACTCTTGCGTGTGACGGATGTTGTCCCACTCCGCTTTGTGTCCTCCAGAGGTTGTGCCATAAGATGTACCAGGCACAACGCACCATACCGAATTGTTGTTTTCTTGCCCTTTCTGTTTTTCTTCGGCTGCGTCAAAGGGTGCGCCTCAGGTTGCGCCCGACCCCGCGCCGCGCCCTGCCGAACTGCGATTCACCCATCTTGCATTTCAGGTTGCACCATACACCCGCACCAGGGCGAATTATGATTTCCCCACTCTGTATACCTCCTGTCAGAGGTTGCGCCTTACAGATCGCCGCAGGTTGCGTCATATACCCCGCGCTCTACCGAAGTGCGAGTGGCCCACCCAGTCGACCTTCCATCTGGTGCGCAAGACGGTCTGCACACCATCGAGCTATGATTATTCTGTTATGTTTGCTCTCCAACAGGCTGCGCCCGAGGTTCTGCGCCCCCCAGACTTGCGATGCCTCCGCTCTGACTATCCTTCGCATGCTCTGCAAGAGGTCGGCCCAGGCACCCCTGCAGCCCACGAATTCGCCAGCTTCCGCGAGAGGGGCTTTCTGTCATAGAGAAGACATGCAATCTCTGCTGCGCAGGGGATGCCGGGGCGCCTGCTGTCACGGCCGTTCTTCGCGCCCGCCGCTTTGCTTGCAGGTGGTGCTGCCGTACCTGACGCAGTCGTACGGCGACTCCCAAGACCCTCCGGAGGAGTCGATCCCCCTGTGCACCCTGAAGGCGCACCGTGCGACCTCCTCTGTGCACGCGCGCACGCATGAGGATAGTGATGGACGAGCAGCCCAGGAAGAGTCGGGAGCAGTTCAGCATTGTTGTTCTCCTTCGCTCGCTCGCAGCGAGGCTTTGCATGCACCGCTGTGGCCCTTGCTTGGGGGAGCGAATAATGACACAAACATTAAGACTCGGAGGTCCGAGTTTCTTACGAATTTGTCATGATTCGGTCCCCTCTTGCTCTCGCTGTGCCATCTGCTCCGGGTCAGCCTTCGGATTGGAGTACGATCGGCCCTCGGGTGGAGTCTGCAACTTTCGTCGGGAGAGCGGTGCTCTGCTGTGCCGCGCCGTCGCCCTCGGCGTGCGCACGCGGCCCCCGGCTTCCAGCTCTCGAGTGCCCCGGCGGTGGCTCTGCCTCGCGCGTGTGGTCTCTCTCTCTCTCTCTTGCCGTGTTGGCGTCCTGGCTCGGCGGCTCGGTGAGAGTTCGGGGTTGGGGGGGGATGCGCGGGCGTGGCACCGCGCCGCTCGGTCGGCCGAGGGTCAAGTTGGGCCTGTCCCTCTGATTTTTCACTATTTTTGAATATTTGGGATTTTGTATATAAAACAAATGTCCAACATCCGTCTGTAGGAGGACATGTTCGACATAAGCCAAGGGGTCACGGACATCGGCGACGCTCGGTGCACAGACGTTCCAGCAGTTTCCCACAGCTCCCGAGTCTGTAGCGTCTGCACACTAAGCTCCTTGGCCGACCGAGCCCCTCCGAGTCGGTGGGACCCAGGAAGGGGGGGTCTGGTCCCAGCTGCCTGCGGGGAAGAGGTCAGAGGGTAGCTCGGATTGGGCGCCAGCCCCTGCCCTTCTGCTCCCAGGCATTCAACGTCTTCTTGAAAAAGGTCGAGGAGAGGGCGAGGACCCCGAGGACGAAGGGCGAGGAGCGAGAGGATGAGGCGGAGGAAGAGGGCGCCTGGGAGAAAGAGGAGGAGGAGTAGGAGGAGGAGGGGGAGGAAGCTGGCGAACAGAGGGGGGATGAGGAGTGAGGACGAGGAGGAGGAGGAGGAGGAGGAGAAGGAGAAGGCGGAGGAGAAGGAGGAAGAAAATTGAGTGAGGGAGAGGAGGAGGGGGCGCGAGCTCTGGCCGCCGCCACGCCGAGAAGTCGGTGCGGCGACTGGGCTGCCGCGCCCGCCGCGCCCAGCACTTCCCGCACGCGATCGAGCACACCATCGAGTGGTCGCGCGACCTGTTCGAGCAGCTCTTCGTGGAGAGCCCCCGGGAGGCGCGCTCCACCCTCCGAGCGGCCACGCGCAGATGGGGGGGTTATGGGGGGGGGGGGGCGGATCCTCAGAAGGAGGCTGCTTCTCAGAAGGCGCCGGCCTTACATCTGTGGATGCCCCCTCCCCCGCGGAGAGCCTGGGTCGTCGCCGAGCCGAGACGAGCAGCGTCCGCCCGCCCGCATGCGTGGCGAGACGCCGCTCCCGGGGACTTCGGTCGGGAGCTCCATGGCCCAGAAGGTCCAGGCAGGCGCGTCGTGACGGGGGGCGGGCCTCCGGACCCCCCTCCCCTCGCTGCGTTTTCGGCGCCTGCTTCCCCAATGTTGTTCGGCCCGCCCTGGATGGTTTCGGGGGGCTTTAGGGGGGAGCGTTCCAGGTGCTGCTCGGAGTTCCCCCTTGCCCAGGGTGCCCCCAGGACTTCTAGGGACGCGCCGACGGCCTTGAGAGAGCTCCCCATCACGAGGGCCCAGGTGGATCCAGGGGCTCCAAAGTGGAGCGAACAGCTGGGGGCACCGTGGGCCAGGGGGGACAACTTTAGCAACCCCCGAGCCTGTTGTTTGGATGGGAGGGCGGCTCCCGCGCTTGCTTGCCATGTGTAAACCGGAAGGAGGGAGGAGACGTATTGAGTGCGGAGGGACGGGGTTATCCGCTCTTGCGCGCCATCCGTTTCCTCCTTCCCTCCTCCCTATCCCGCTGCCGTTCCCAGCATCCCCCTCCTGTTCCGCCTCCCTTAAATTGTCCATTCCCTCCCCTCTTTCCCCTCCCTTCCATTCTCCACCGTTTCCATCTTACCATTCTACCGTCCAGTCTTTCTGGTGGCAGTTGCTGATGTTGAAGATCCCACCCTTCCCTCCCCTCCTTCGCCCTCCCAGCCAATAGGTGAACACATACCTCAGCGACACGGCAGCGTTCTTGAAAAAGGTGGCGCAAGAGGGCACTGGTGCGCCTCCTCGCCCTCTTGTGTTCCTGCCTGGGAAGGGGGTTGCTCGAGCAGAACGCAGGAGGTGTGACACAGGAGACGAGGGGGGAGGAGTCAGGAGTCAGGAGTCCCAGGACGAAGTCCGAAACCAAACTCACGAAGACCCCGTATGGGCCTTCTTTGAGCGCTCAGCTTTTAACCTTCGGGACAAGATTTTGCCGAATTCGGTCCAAGCAGATCTGTTTGGATGGGTGTGACCACCTTGGGGTATTCCTTACCCAACCCTACTAATTCTTAATCTTCATACATACCACAAGACGCGCAGGCCTACATTCCTAGGTCCTGGTGCAGGCACATATTGAGGGAGGGTGACTCCGCCCCCCAGCTATATGAGTCCCTGCCCCCCTCAGGAAGACCTCTCAGGGAGCCATCAATAGAGAAACCAGCTTGAAACATTCAGCGGACACCCAAGCTCTGACTAGGCACTAGGCAGGTGGACGCTGAGCCGCGACGTCGGCGGCATCGACGTCCTGATTCACTCGAGGCGTGCGAGGTACTGAATACAGACAGGGCCCTGGCAGACGGCGGCGGCAGAGGGGAGGGGGGAGGGGACGTGAGGGCACAAGAGGCAGCAGCAGGATCGCTGCAGTCTAAAGCCTCAGCACGTTGCATCCCTCTCCTTCCACGGTGACTTCCCTCGGTGGCTATTGCACTGTTTACATTGTCCTTCTCGGTGGCAGTCACACCCAGCGTTGCTCGAAGAAGACGACGGATCTTGGCCGTCAAAATCCGATGCTCAGCTTCTCTGGCAATCTATATAAAAAACATGGTGGGGCTGGCGGTGGCGAGCAGACATTCTCATTAGTCATGACGTCGGCTGCCGCGTTGTCTTGCACAAGCCATACCAGTCTCTTGCTTTAGATAACCTCATCAGCAGACAGAGGGGAATGCGTACAACAAACCAGACAACATGACCGCGAGTCCGTCCGACCATCTGCTGTCCATTGAGTCCCCACAGGTCGGAATTCTCATCAGCAGGGGTCTGATCAATGAAGCTGCTTCGTCCTTCGAGTTCTGCTTTATTGTATGACACGTATGTGAGGTAATCAGATCCCCGCTTCAGCGCACACGAGAAACATAACAGCTCGCATCGAGGAGCTGATTTCTGGAAGCGTGGGCGGATAGTCGGCATGGGGGCACCCAAACTCCGTTGAAGATCCATCACGATGTTGAACAAGCCCCACCCCGACTCGCCGAAGCTTAGCGTCTCGGGAGTCTTCGCCACAGTTCAATCGCCCAAAGAAAGCACTGGTCTGTCAGCCTGTCTTGGGCCAGGGCATCATTCGAACACGCAATCCTCCAAGCCAGTCTGCCACCAATCCCCTTCAGCGGGCGGGGCTGCAGCTGTCACGACTGCAGGAAGGAGACCCCGCAGTCCGAAAGCCTCGTCAGCTTCGTGCCCTTGATTGAAGTGACATTTCCCAAAGCGGGGGACATCTGACTCGGGTACTCTCTAGCATCTCGGGGATTTGTTGTACATGGAGATGTTCAACGATACTTGTGCCCGACGCTCGCGAGGCCAAGTCCCGCCAGCGGCCATTGTAGCCGAAAGCTCCGAAAGTCGTCTGCTCTAGCTAAGCGAGATGTCGAAGTAGGAGCTAGAGAGATGTCGTGTCCACACCGCCTCCAACCCCTCCTCCACAATAGTGCCAATAAGCCTCGTGCACGCCAAACCAGGAGCTCCGAAGTCAAGCCACAATCCACAAATAACTGCTTGGTGCTGATCAGAGCCATAAGATTTGAACAACCATCCTCAGGAAATCCTCAGGAAACATCCACCGTGCTGTCAGGCATGGTCCAAGAGGTAGGTGTCTGAGGTCCCAGCCCACTCAAGAAGGCACACGACGACAGATGACATAGGTCCCCTCATGGACCTCGGCCGTCGCGCAGTTGGAAGCTCCCGAAGCCGACGAAGGAGAGGCCCTCAAGCGCGATGTACCCCCGCTCGGATTCGCGGACTCTCAAACCATTTTCGGAACAGGAACTCGACGCACTTATGGGGGCATTTGACGCCTGGTTCCCTGCCAGTCCCCTTGATTGCCTGCAGGCAATGTCCGCCAGATGCCCGCGGCTGCCTAGCTGCGGCGAAAGACCCCACCGGCCAGCCGAAGGTGCGGTGGATCCAACGAGGAAAGTTGCCACCTGCTGCATCACTCGTGCGCTCCAGCTTGCATCTGTGAGGCTCTCGCAAAGCGCACAATCTTGCCGTTGAGCTTGGCGTGTTTGACCGTCCTCCCGCGCCGTGTTCGTCGCGCGCGACGAGCGCCGCCGGCCCGGTCCTCGCCGAGGAAAGGTGCCTGTATCAAAGCCTTGACCTCGAATTCACGAAGAAGGAGCCTCCAGGAGATCTCCATAGCATCTCCATGTATAGGGCAAACGATCATTGTCTTGAGAGACGCACTCAACTTCAACGCGTTGGCTCATCACGCGTGTCCACCACGCAGGCATGCCGAAACGGAACTTCGAAGGCCGGCGTTGGAGTTTCACGTGCGTTGGGCCAAATCGCCCACCCCAATGCGATCATTTTAGCCCAATATGGGTAGATGGCAGATTGGCCACAGTGAAGTGCGCCACGCACTTCGCGAAGCAAGTGCCGCTCCACAACCCCTGCATGATGGAGCGACAAGGTTGGGAAAGGCTCGCGCAGGTCGAACTGCTCGTGGATGCGAGGGGCCGTGCGTTGGGCCAACTCCATGCCGAGCACGACTGGGGGGAACCCCAGCCGAAGGTTTGCCGATAAGGAGGTCCCAGTCGATGGCGTCGTAGAAAGCGCGAATGCCTAGCTTCCCGCGCGCCTTTTGAACTTCGAGGCAGGCCGCCACCTCGTCGGAGAGGGTTCGCTGGAATGCCCCCCTCAGCGCGGCGTTGCCAAGTATTGCAGCATCCCGCGACTCGCAGCGCCAGCCCACGAGCGAACGTACCGCTCGCGGATCATCGACCATGCACGTCCAGGCAGGGTGGTGGTGAGGCCGATGATGTTATCGCCTTCACCCTTCTTGGGGCGTAACCTGCCAATCGCCAACTGAGTTTGAAATTGGCGCGTGAGTGTGGTCTCGAACTAATTGGAAAGAGCTACCAACTTGTCCACCCCAGCGTCGGGGGGGCGCCCGGTGCCCAGCTGGGCGGGGCGGTCCGCCCCCGCCCCCGTTCCCCCTCCACGGGGTGAGCTGCTGCGCGCGCCTCCTGCCCCGAGATTGGATCCAGCGGCTCATCCCTGGCAGCCTCGAAGACCGCTTGGCAGGCGGGACGAAGCTGGTTCCAGTCGCGTTATCACGGGGCCCAGATGCCGCGCTACTGGTGGCCCTTGACGTCAAGGATGCCCATGGAATGGGAGAGGGTGCCGAAGCCGACTATGACATTCCGCTTGGGGAGCGGGCCCCCGCGCATGGGCCGATGGACGGCCCCCAGAGACGTCTTACTCGAAAGCCAACTGCGGAACTCACCTAGCGAATCGCGAAGGGTTCGACAGTGCGCCCTTCGCTCGATGCGATGGGCTCGCTCATAGATATCCTGGAGGACAGTAGCTGTGCACAGGCCGGCATTGAGCAGCAGGTGGACCTACTCTTCGAGCGAGGTTTCCGAAGGTCGAAGTGACCGTCCAGCCTTGTCGGGTGTCTCTTCTGCTGGGTTCCAACAAACAAGGATATCTGGCATGTGCCCCTGCTGCCTTTGCACATTGTCGTGGCGAAGATGACAAACTAACTGCAATAATACGGGTGAAATCCGTCCCGACGAGGAGCTGAACTATTGCGACCGTTCTTAAGTTATGGCGAACCTCCTCCAGTGCGAAATTGCAGCCTTCTGCGCGGTCGGGCCGTCAGCTATCGGAGTTGGGTGACGCGAGCAAATTTCATTGTCAAGAGCGAGGGAATGGGCGTACCAGGAGCTAGCAGACCTCAAGCGTGGTGGGTTGAGCCTAGATGCTACGGAAGCGTCTAAAAAGGGCGGGATGGGCCATGCAACGCGATCCAAGTTTTGTCGACGGCATGTCAACCATACTTTATCAGCCATATGAAACGGTGGTTCGAGTTTTACTATCGAAGCTTCGAAACGAGATGGAGGGGCTTCACTTGCGAGGTGCATCCTTCAGATGTCGGTGGAGCGTGTTTCTTTCTTGCTTGGGGCATATCGGGCGTCACGGCCCCGCCCCCCCCCTCCCCAACCAGTGCGCTCCAGGCATTGCCGCCGTGCGCATCGGGATCCGCATAGGTGTCCGCATAAGAACTCGCATAGGAGTGTGGTCCGCAGTCGTCGTCGTCGTCGTTGTCGTCGTCGTCGCCGTCGTCGTCGTCGTCGTCGTCGTCGTCGTCGTCGTCGCGCGTCGCTTGTCGCTCGTCGCTCGACGCTCCTCATCGCCGTCGTGCGCGCGGGCGCGGCTGGAGCCTGTTTTCTTATTCCGGGTTGATGACGGCAATCATTTGGGGGGGGTGGAGGGGGCCGATGACGTCACATTTCGCGCCGGCGGCGTCTGGGAATGCCGTGGAATGACCGGGGACGGGTAGCAGCAGCATGTAGGTGGCGATCTGCACCACAGCGCCTATGTACACCACAGTGCTTGCGTGCACCACAGCGCCTGTGTAAACCACACCACCTGTGTACACCACAGCAGCCGCGTGCAACAGCGCCAGTGTGTGCCGCAGTGCCTGCGGGCACCACAGCGCTTGTGTACACCACAGCGTTTGCGTACACCACATCAGCCGTGTGCAACACAGCACCAGTGTACACAACAATCCCTGCGTGCATTACAGCGCCTGTGTGCAACAGAGCACCACTGTTGCATGTAGAATTTGAAAACAGATCGTTATGACATAATGGAGCGCCTGTGGATCCCGCAGAAAAAAAATTGGTATAGGATTTAGAGAAGAATCCTTCTGGCAAAAGAAGCGCCGCTGGCATCTCCGAGTCCTGCCGGGTCCGCAGCATTCCAAATCCTCCAACTTGCGTCCAAGAGGCTCCAGCAA